TTTCAGTTTTCTATTATGACTTTGGTCATACTACTCTGTGTAGGGTTCTTTTTTTTCTCTCTTCAATGTCAAGATACCCAATCATGGCCTTTCAGAAAATATAACTTTTAAAAACTAATTGAAGAATTATTGGTTATTAATATGAATTTTATGGTAATTTTTATGAGTTATTCTATATCTCCCTTTCCTCATCTACAAATTGAGGATAATACTAGAACTAGCTGCAAGGAGTTTTATTGAGGATTTTATACAACAATTGTTAGTAACTAGTATTATTACTGTTATATTTGAAATTTTACTATATGGTGGAATTTCAAAGTATGGTGACTGCCATTGAGGGAAGAGAGGAAATTTGAATCTCTTCTTTGTAACACAATAAATTCCTCCTAGATAAGAAATTAAACAAGGGCTGGCATAGAGGCTCAAGGCATAGAGTGCCTGCCTAGCAAGCATGAGGCCCTGAGTTCAAATCCCAGTACTATCAAAAAATAAAACAGATAGTATATATGGTGTAAGCAGTTACATAGACATGAGCAGAAACAGAAAAATGCTCTGTTACAAGATTTCAGTCTACAGCCCCAATATGGCCCAGATTTTGCACCAACTATTAAGATTATGGCTCTATATCCTCCTTAGGGTACATACTCCCCCACATTAAGGTTGGGCATGTGCCTTGAGGGTGTAATGACTGCTATATGACCTTCCACCGATGACCCTAAACCAGGAGGGGCAAAGAGGACAAATGCACAGGGTATACCTTCTCACACCCAGGCAGCCACTGAGAAGTTAAAATCATTTGGGGAAGGACCACAGTAGGAGAGCGTCAGTTTGGAGCCACCTAATAACCCCACTTGATTGGACAAAACCCTAAGTCCCAACAGCTTCCACACAGTCAATTCTTACCTGAACTGTCTGCCTCACCCTGTCCCTGGTTTACGCAGTTAACTTCTTTTTAATGGTGGTACTATGGTTTGAACTCAGGGCCTTACATTTGTCAGGCAAGCTCTTTACCACTGGAGCCACTTCACCAGCCCTTTTGTTGTGTTGGGTATATTTGAGAGAGGGCCTTGGTTTTTTGTCCAGGCTGGCCTCAAACCATGATCTTCTTGATCTCTGCCTCCTAAGTAGCTAGGATTAGAGGTGTAAAACACCAGTGCCTGGCCTGCAATTACCTCTTATTCAACTGCTGCCTCATGCCTCAAGGTATACTTATGCTTTGCCAATAAATCACTCTTTACTGTCTTCCTATTCATTGTGGCTCTTTTGCCCATCTGGGGCAGCGTCCTAATCTTAGGCATTATGCCCAAGAACCAAAAAACACCTGGAACACCCCAATAATTCAATAGCCAACCCTCATTTTTGTTTTATTTTTCTTGTTTTTTGTGGTACTGGAGTTTGAACTCAAGGCACACACTCTACCACTTGAGCCACACCTCCAGTCACTAGTCTTCATTTTTTAAGTAAAATTTTAAAAACTCTTAATGTGCTACTAATGTCTTTAATTTAATAAATGATATTTACCAGAAATAGAAAACAACATATTTGATGGCAAAATATTAGAATCATTACTATTAACAATGTTCCAATAAAATCAAGATTATAATGATGCCATTATCATTATTACCCAACATTGTTCTACATTACATATGTTATAAAATGTCTACACAACAAAAGACATCATAAAGTTAAACTAGGAGCTATGTATATAATATATAAAACAAATGAAACAAAGAGCTACTAAAAACTAACAAGAAATAGACAATCTAATGACACCTTTTTTGCAGAGCTGTTTGGCTATCAAAATTTTAAATGCTAATTACCTTTGGCCCAGTTGTATTTCCACAAATGAGATTAAAAAAATATTCACACAGAGACAAGAGGATTGAGAGTTCAAGCCTAGCCCAGAGAGAGGTAGCCAGACTCTTACCTCAAAAACAAAAGGGCTGGGGGCATGGCTTAAGTGTAGAGCACTTGCCCAGCATGGAAAGGCCCTGGGTTCATTCTCTAGTACCAGAGGGAATTTTAAAAAAAGGAAGATATTCACACAAAAGCTCAAAAATATGCATATACAGATGTTTACTGCAGCATTGTCTATAGAGTGAAAAATTAGAAATCTAAGTGCACTAACAATGGCATTCACAATATAAAATAATTTCAAGTCCTTAAAAACAGTGAACTAAGCCAGTGGAGTGGCTCAAGTGGTATAGCACCTACCTAGCAAGAAGTCCCTGAATTCAACCCCCAGACCCACCAAAAAAAAAAAAAAAGTGAAATATTATTTGTATGAACTGATTAGTCTGGATCTCTGAAAAAGATTAAGTGAAAAAGTGACAGAACAACAAATACAATTATTTCACTTATGTAAACTTATCTTTTTTATAAAAATGATAACAATATTATAAGGATTTGAAACAAATGGACAATATTAAGGATTTGAAACAAATGGAAACTTCTAATAAGGGAAGTAGAACAGACAAATAGGGTAGAAACTGAGACAATAGTTAAGAAGGAAACTGTGAGAATTTCAAGCTTTACTGAATATGGGTTTAAATAGTCCAAATCTTTAATATTAAAAATGTGCTCAGTATCACCCAGTCAGCTGAGTGGCAGAACTCTTCTTAAGGTTTCATCCAACATCACATACAGCAGCACTGCTTGTAAGAGCCAAAAAGTGGAAGCAACCCAAAAGAGTATTTAACAAACAGATAAACGAAATGCACTGCATCTATACAATAGAGTATTATGTGACATTAAAAGGGAATGACTTACTGATACACGTTACAATGTTGAAGACATGCTAAGTGAAAAAAAGCCAGTCACAAAAATCACACATTTTATGATTACATTTATTTGAAATGTCTGAAACACCCAATCTATAAGGATGGAAAACAGATCAGTAGTTGCTTGGCAGGCAGGGGGTGGAGGCTGCGTGGAGCCCAAGGTGATGATTTAAGCGATGCTGGCGATTTTTTTGAGTGAAGAAAAATGTTCTAAATTTGATTGTGGTCATGGTTGCTCAACTCTGGGAAAATACTAAAAACCACTAATTGCAAACTTTAAATGGGTGAATTATACGGTATGTGAACATCAATGAATGATAACCCATCAATTTAAATCTGAATCCCAAAGGAAAGGGGAGGAGAAGAGATATCACTGCTAAGAATGCGAAGCAACAACAGTGGAATTTGAAGTCTTACAGGGAGCAAGCAAATACAGAAAGACAACCTTAGTGCTTTTATTTCTATTTGACTCTTATTGAAAAAGAAGTTATTTTACAAAATGCATAATGTGGTTGGCCAGGGCCTTCACTCAAAGGATCTGAACTTCATCTTCAGCAAACAGCAAGAGCTCTACAGCAGACAGGCTCATGATGGGCGGAGGCCCCTGAGAATTGCAACATCTACCAGTTCAATAGACGTGGAGATTACCCTATCTAAATTTTAACAAAACTCACCCCTCCTGAAGTATGTGGCTTCAGAAGATTCCTGGAAACAAAACATGGCTCCAAGCTAATAACTGCAGTGTACACACCAGTGGAAACATAAAATAAAAAAGCTAATCTATTATGATCTTTTCTGCGGCAACCACAGAAAAATAGGTATTAACATTAAATATTTGGTGCACGAGTAAATACTATCAAAGTAAGGGAAAAACACGAAGGAAATTTGGGAAATTATTCTTTACTTTTAGTTCATGTACTTATTTTTGTTATCATCATCCTCCCTACAGAGTAACTGTAGAAACTAATCTGTATGACTAAAATCATATAAAATGAAAGTTGGGTATGGTAGTACATGCCTGCAATCCCAACTATTCAGGAGGCAGAGGTAGGAGGATGGCAGTCTAAAATTGGCCTGGACAAAAGCACAAGACCCTATCTAAAAACACAGAAAAAGCAAAGGACTGTGGAGGTGTGGCTCAAGTGGTAGAGCACTTGCCCTAGCCTGTGCCCCTGATTTCAATCTCCACTACTGCCAAAAAAGAACAAAAAAAAAAAAAAAAATCATATAAAATGAAAACATATTTGAAATTTATACATGGACATGTTTCATGTAAGATTTAACTACAAGGGGCTGGATTCATTTTCATGTAACAAATTTCTCATGACCCTTTATTAAAGCATGTCTTTCACAACATACCCTAATTCACTCAAATATATAAGCATAACAGTACTGTGAAAAAACCGCCAGAGAACTGCAATCAAAGACCTTCAGAGGTAGTCCAAAGCTACGCTGCTCTTTGAGAGAGAGAAAGAGAGAGAGTGTGTTTTGGGGAACTAAAGACTCACTGTTTGCTAGCTTAAGCGCTGAAGTATAATATTGTCAACTGACACATAATAGTAGTAAAGCAGGAAGCAAGAAGAACTTAAAGAGTTAACGATGTTAGAAAACAAAGTTAGATGGGGAAAAGTTTAAAACAGCAAAGGAAGAGAGAAACCAATCTCAGAAAAGCCCTTGGGCTACCCATAGATCAGAACAAAGTATTTCTACAATGAATCTGTAATTTGAAAGATCCTCCACCATACATCACTAAATTATTGGTTATTCTGTAGCTAGGGATTGGAAACAAATTAATTCCTTAAATGACAGTTCAGAGCTTCCCGGATTCTTTTTTAAAGAAGATGCAGAGACCAAGGGAGGATTCTGTGTATTTGTTTTCAATGAGTATTTGGAACGGAGACTTTTAAAAGCGGTATTAACTGGCAAGCAAAATGAAGCCAAGTGCAAAGTTGAGTTGGCCGTTTTTACTGCAGCGGGTGGAAAGAGCCCACCTTCAGGAAGAAAGGAAAAGAAGCACCTGCATGGATGAAGCAATGCGCGCAGCCTTGGGGGCAAGTCAAGGCGGAATGGGTTTGAGGCATGGTTTTTCGTGCAGGCCCAGCCACAGGGCCTTATAAGTCCCAGGGTTCCATCTGCCTCTGGGGACAAAAGCAGCTCCTCGCGACCCCTACCTGCACCTAGCAAACCCAGCGGTGCCAATGCGCATCTCCTCTCCCCCACCTGGGATATTCTGCCACCTGGACTCGGCGCGTGACAGGGCCCTCCGAAGCCATCGCTAGATCAGTCTTTCTCCGGCAGTTTCGGGTGGAGAGGCAAAGCTCCCGAGGCGATCACGAGATAACTACGGCGGGAACCTCTTTCTTCCGGAGAACCGGACTCTGGCTCTGCGGAAATCCTGCAGCGCGCCGAGGTGGCTGCTGCACGGCCCCACCTCCGACTCCTCCCCGCTCCGCGTTGCCTCCCCCCGCAGCGGTCACGGGCGGCCGCGGCCCCGCCACCACCCGGGCACCGGGGCTCTCGGCACTACTCCTGAGGGACGTCCCTTTTCTGCGCCCTGCGGTTAAGCTCGAGTAACACGGAGACCTGCACACACTGGTTTCCTGCGCTCTCAGACTTTTCTTGAAGTTAGGGTTCTTTAATGTCCACTAGCTTCCCGCACAAACAACACTAAAATGTTTAGCTATAGCTTCTTAACGTGGATTTATTTCCAAGCCAATCAGCATAAAAGTGATGCAGCACTTGATGTAAATGTATTTGCATTTACCTCCAGAATCTTGACATTGGTGGGCCTTCCCAGAACACACTTAATAGTGAAAAGAAGGAAACACACGTCTTCAGTCTGTGTGAACCCTTGGCATGCAGTCCAATCCCTTCATTCTCCTGTCACCTAGAGGAGTCCCAGATACCCTATCCAAAGAAGTACACCATGTCCCCCACATCATCCACTATATTACTGTTCTTAGTCTCGAGGGTACCAAAAAATCACCCTACATACTTAAGTTCTCATGCATTTATTTTCTGTCTCCCACCTCAGCCATCACTACCACTAGAGGATAAACAACTTGAGTGCAGGAGCCTTTCATCCCCAGCACCTGCAACAGTGCCTGGTAGACTGGTTTTCTTTGTTGTACTGGGGTTTGAACTCAGGGCCTCATGCTTGCTAGGCAGGTGCTCTACCACTTAAGCAACTCTAACAGACTATACTGGTTTTTAATAAATAGCCAAGATTAGCTGACTGAATGACTGAAAGATGAAACAATGTATATAAGGTCATACTGCTTATTGGTAGCAAAATTAAAATTCAAACTTACTGTCAGTGCCATGGCTTATACCTGTAATCCCAGCTATTCAGGTTTAGATGAGGAGAACCATGGTTTGAGGCCAACCCAGGCAAAAATTTAGCAAGACTCCGTTGTCAACCAATGGAGTGTTGACACATGCCTGTTATCCCAGCTACAAGGGAGTTGAGTAGTAGGAGGATCATAGTTCAGGCCAGCCAAAAGTGCATTACTCTGCTGAAAAATAACCAAGGCAAAGAAGGCTGGGGGCATGGTGCAAGTGGTAGAGCACCTGCTTAGTAAGTTCAAGACCCTCAGTTTGAAGCCCAGTATACATACATACACACAAAAAAAATTCATTCCTGTTAATTCTTATGCTAGTCCACTTTGCAACACAGAATATTTAGAGTAAATCTAACTGAAGCCAGCTAGCAATACCCCTATTCCAAGACTTTCCAACTGAGCAAGCTTGAGACAATATGCTTTGATTGGTCCATTTTCTGTTGCTGAAATAAAATACCTGAGGATGGAGACTTTACTTTTAAAAAAAAGGTTTATTTAGCTCACAGCTTTGTTTTTTAATTTTTATGGTACTGGGGTTTGAACTCAGGGCCTCATGTTTGCTAGGCAGGTGCTCTGTCACTAAAACCACCACACCAGCCCTAGCTCATAGTTTTTGAGGCTAAGAGTTCAAGATGGGGTGGCCCCATCTACTTGGCCTCTGGTGAGTACCTTGTGACAGATGGGAACACAGCAATGGGAGCATGTGTAGAAGACATGATGACATGGTGAGATAGAAAACTAGGGAGATTCAGGGGTCAGGCTCCTCATTTATTAACAACTAATTCCCATGGAAGCTAACATATTCTGAAACCAGCCTTAATATTTACCAGGGCAATGCCCCCAATTACCTAATTACCTCCAACTAGACCCATCTTTTCAAGTTTCCATCACCATCTCCACACTAGAGACCAAGCCTTGAACACATGAGCCTTTGAGCAACACATTCAAACTATAGCAATATCCAACACACTAGGGGTAGTAGCATAACTTAGAGAAATTCAATAAGTTGCCAATCATTTTTCTGTATGTATGTCAGGACGGGGAGGAGGGGAGAATGGAGGCTAAAGTGGGAATCAATCAATAATACTGAAGTTTAGTCAAGGGTGGAAGCCCCTCGACCCCCCGAGTTCTTATTGTAAACGGTCTATCATGGAAATGAAGTTATTCTGGCCTCAGACTTCTTTCTCACTGTTAAAATTTGGATCTCAAATGTCCCACAAAGGCCATGTATTAAAGGCTTGGTCATCAGCTTGTGGGACTCTTGGGAGGTGGTGGAATCTTTAGGAAGTGGGCCTAAGAAAGGAAGTTAGGTCATTGGGGGTGTGCCCTTGAAGAGGACGTTGGTATCCTGACTTCTTCCTCTCTCTATTTGCTTCCTGGTTACCATGAAATGAGTAGCTTTGCTCTACTACACTCTCCCCACCATGATGCTGCCTCACCACAGGCCCAAAAACAATGGAGCCAAATGACCACAAACTAAACTTCTGAAACCATGAGCAAAAATAAATATTTCCTCCTTTTTTTGAGTTGATTTTTCTTAAGTACTTTGTCACAGTGAAGAAAAGTTGCTTAACACACTCACTATCATCTAGAACTACAAATTATTTCCTAATGAATTGACTATATCTTCTTTTTTGAACCCTAATAAATCCCAATAATAATGTTCATTGTGCCTTAATCTTGGGTAAGGAGTGACATTATTTCAACATCTTGTAAATAGGTTCTCTCTTTATTGGAAGAGAATTTAACTAAGAAAAAATGTAAAAACTTTTAGGAATATCAATCAGTAAATATAGAAAAGAACAGAACCATTTTTATTCAGATCTGCATCTAATATATTCTTTTATATTAATTAAAAAATAATCACATTTTAAAACTTTGAAAATATTGCTTCTTTTAAAATAGTACAAAACTAGCAATGGTGGCATACACCTGTAATCACGACATTCAGGAGGTTGAAGTGGGAGTATTATGAGTTCGAGGACAGCCTACACTACACAGCAAGTTCAAGGGCAGTCTGGGATATATAAACAAAAAATAATACAAAGCAAACTCACTTTATACAGGGTAAAAAAATGAACACAAAGACTACAGAAACTCTTTTGCTAAAGAAAACATCCTATTGAATGTATATTCAGTTATCAAACATTCATTTGCCATATGGTAAATGAAACAACTTTATTGTAGTCTCACCAAAACTGATGCAGACAGGAAATCTTTGTAAAAAAAAAAAATCCTGTTTTCAAAATGATTGGCCCAAGGTATTAAAATCCAGGTCTCTGGACTCCTACCCCAGATACCATACTACTTCTGACTATGACCTTTGATGAGACCTCAGCAAAGTATGCCTAAAAATAAGTTATTGAAACTCGTAGTTCTTATCCCAAAATTGAGAAACGTGCATTATAATGTTCATAAAGCATTGCTCTTAAAATAACTTGTCCTCAAACTACTAGAAAACCCTAAATGTACACCAAAAAAATCTAACATTACTTTCTTATCCTATCTTCCTTATGCCAGGCATCTTGTTAAGTAAGCACTTTACATATTATATTACTACTATCTCTTTAAATCTTCCCAAGGTGGGGAGGAAAAGGGTAAGAAATATGACAAAGGGGTGAACTTGTTCAAAATATACTGTATGCATCTATGGCATTATCACAATGAACCCCATTTACTATTAATGTATGCTAATAAAAAAATAGTAAAATAAATCTTCTCAATAATCATGAGATAGAAAAATCTTTATTAAGAAGGTATGCCTATATTTTCTTCTGAGTTTTATAATTATAACTTCTATATATAGGTCACTGACTCACTTTGAGTTAGATTTGTATATGGTATGAGGCAGAAGTCATTTATATGTAGAAATCCAGAAATCCAATTTGTTGAAAAGGCATTGAGATGGATTTAGTACCCTTGTCAAAAGTCAACTGGTCATAGGTATATGGATTTATTTCCAGACTCAATTCCATTCCATTGACCTGTATGTCTATCTGTATGGCAGCAGCACACTGTTTTGATTAATGTGGCTTTGCACTAAGTGTTGAGTACAGAGTATGAGCTCTCCAACTTTATTCTTCTTTTTCAAGGCCAGGAGGGCTATTTGAGAACCTTTGCAATTCTATTTTTAAAAAAGAAAGAATTTCTAGAGCTGGGATCTCAGAGTGGTAAAGCACTTGCCTAGCAAGCACAGGCCTGAGTTCAAATCCAAGTACTTCAGAAAGAAGGAAGGAAGGGAGGAAAGAGTTGCTAGACAATCAGATAGTGAAAATATTTGCACATTTAAAAGTTACAGTATTTTTATGTTCACAAGTATTAAATCTCTCATCTTTATTTTTTGCGTGCATGCACACTTACAATAGAGTTTAGTCTAAATTATAAACTACAGATGGTATAACATGGTAGATTCTTAAACAGAGACCTAACTAAAAAGCTTGAAATTGTTTATTTTCCAATGATGTCAGTCTCAATTCAGATAAAATATTATAGCAAACTGGGCTGGGGAGGTAGCCCAAGAGGTAAAGTGTTTCACCAGCAAGTATGAGGTCCTGGGTTCAATCCTCAATACCAATAAATAAATAGATTGATAGATGATAGAAGATAGATAAATAGATAGCAAACAAAATACCAAAATAAAACAATACAAAACATGATCCAAAATACAACAAATGCATGTGTGTTATTCATACAGACCTGGCTAATTCCTATAGACATATAGGTCTCACTTAGAACACTTTCTCCTGTAAGTTTTCTCTGTTCCTTACACTCACCTTACCTTCAAAATTTAAGTATCTATGCCCACAGAGAGACTGATTGTTTATCTAAAATGTTGTTTCTGTGGTGTAGCCTATTTGTGCAACCTCTACAAACAATACCTTTTTTGATTTATAATAAAGTAATAAAATCAGGAGAATATAATTTCAGTGACTTACTATGGGTATTTCCCCATCATGGCAAATAATATAATAAACTTCCTTAATGTCTTCTTTATAATA